AGATGGCACAGTATGCTTGCCCTGTTTTGTAGGAAGCCACCGTTTGGTAAATAACGTCTTTGTTACACAGGCAACGTGCATTAACAGCTAGTGATCTGTACAGTGTTGTTTACCATTAAGGTACATAACAGTGCTGCTTTTGCTTAATTAGGCTTGATTACACAAAAAGTAGTCAGGAAACTACTCTGCTAGAGGGACATTTTGAAGAAGTACCTCAGATCTCTTTTAATTTGATCAAAACATCATTTTTTAAAATGCATGGATTGTATCATCATACAGCATGGGATATTTCATCCCGTATGATTAAAATTTTACAAAGTAACAGTAACTGGATCTTACGAAGTGAAATGTCAGTTTCAATAGTCACTAGCATAGCTGGCCTGGTTCATAATATGTCTGAACTAACCATTCAGTTTCATTATGTCTGGATATGCCTATACCGTATCTATACCACATAAAACAGCAACATTAATTTTTTAGAAGCAGAAAGTGCCACAGCTTATCATTAAAATTGAACTGGTTTAGCTTGTTAGCTAACCAGGACTTCCTTCCATCCCTCACAAAGAACACTCATGAATGAATGAACTTCATTAGATTCAAAGAATTGAATAAAGACTAATCATCCACCTCCAGCCACTTGGAATTCCTTGTTCTCCTGCTATAAGACTCATAACAATAAATAACAGCAATTTGGCTTGTGCATTGTTCCTTGGAAATGAATTCATGGGGCTTGAATTTTTTTGGTTTTGATTTAACCATGTTTTACACCCACATTATAGTGACATAAATGACTGTGGTAGGAAATATTCACATGTTTTTGCTTTCAGAGCTGCAAACTTTTATAATAAACTTTAAGAATGTAAATATTGTCACTAAAGATTATGCATTGATTGCAATATTTATTTGACCCGGGCCTTTAAAATCACTACACTGTAAAATTGCATTCATACAATATGTCAGTAACTTGTAAGTACTGGGATTTTTACTCACATTCATGAGCACTCAGTACTTTACTAACCAATTTATCTAATTACTCTTGTGGTTACATCATCTTTGTCTGTCCTGTTCAAAGCTTTGAACAAGGCTCCCTGGATCTTCTCTCTTTCTCCAAAATAATAGATCAAACATTCAGTTAAAAACCTGCAAATAAGAAAAATACACATTAATCCTGTTTGCAGTGAAATTAATAGTAATCTCTCAGAATCACAGAATGGCCAGGGTTGGAAGGGACTCAAGGATCATAAATCTCCAACCTCCCCGCCCCAGGCAAGGCCACCATCCTCCCCATTTAATACTAGACCAGGCTGTCCAGGGTCCCATCCAAATCTGGCCTTGAACACCTCCAGGGTCGGGGCAAATCTCAGTGGTAATAGAAATTTTCATGGCCAGCATGTTACTGTTCTTTGTTTCTAGAATCAGCCTTGTCTTCATATGAAAAAAACACATCTGTCCAAGTGATCTTCCACTTCAGGAACTTATGGTTGGCTGTCATCCTTTAAACTCTGGAATTCCGTATACAGCTGAAGAACCTGATCACGTAATCACAGAATGGCTGAGATTGGAAGGGACCTCAGGGAGCCATTTGGTCCAACCCCTGTCACAACAAGAGCAGTTTGACTGCATGCCAGAGCTCCCCTGCCAAGGGCTTTCATTGAACAGACTGGCAAAACACCTCTCTGTCAGAGCCCACCAGGATTTTCATTGGACATTTTCAGCAGTGCCTGTCTGCCAGTGTTCCCCCTTGCTCAGACTTTCACTGCACATATTCATGAACATTTAAAAAGATGATGTATTGAAACAACGAACATCATAAGTTTGGGACTGCTTCTGATAAATGCTGCAATAGTGCTAGCATATGATAATGGTGCCAGTTCAGTACATGCTGTCCCAGGTGCTCTTCACCAAGAGGTGAGGCTCAGTGCTTAGCAAGAAAGAGTCCCTGTCTTGGTGGAAGAAGAGGAATGCAGTTTCCCATCTCTTATCTCCCATATCTCTTCTCTCCTTCAATCTCTTTTCCTTTCCCTTCCCCATTTCCACCCCCACTGAGATAAACTTTACCTTATATCCTAACCCCTTATCTTGGGGTGATGTTTGGCATGATTTGAGGTGAGAGTTGAGCACTATAGTTATGTATGTTCAGCACGTACTCCTGAGAGCTCATTAACATACTGAGGGGTGTTAACTTTAATATTAATGTCATGGTTAATGAAGCAAAAGGTCTCACTTAAGGCATTGTGGGTCTCAGGATTCTGTGCTGAAACATTATCTGCTTATTCCCACAGCCTTAAACCAAAACAGGACCATCCTGCTGCCACAAGACTTCCTCCTTCAGCTGCTCTTTGTGATGACCTTGCAGATCCCTATCCCCAAGGTTTAAACAAGAGATAAGCAGGCAGTGTGATTTTAAAGACTTATGTGAAAATCCCGCACCCCTACCCCAGCAGGGACACCCAGAACAGGGGTGCCCAGCACTGTGCCCAGGTGGCTTCTGAATATTTCCAGTGAGGAGACCCACAGCCTCTGGGCAGCCTGTGCCAGTGCTCAGCCACCCAGTGCAGAAGTGCAGCCTGGTGCTCAGTGGCACCTCTGTTCCACTTTGTGACCATGGCTTCTTGCCCTGTCACTGGGCACCACTGAAAAGAGCTCCTTTGCACCTTATTTTCTGGTATTTGTAAACACTGATGAGATTCCCAAGCCTCCTCTTCTCCAGGCTGAACTGGCTCAGCTCTCTCAGCCTTCCTCACAGGAGAGGTGCTCCAGTCTGTAACCCATCTTGGTGTCTCTGTATGCCCATATCTCTCCTGTGATGGGAGCCCAGAACTGGATGCAGCACTCCAGGGGAGACCTCAGTGGGGCTGGCTGAGGGGGAAGGTTCACCTCCTGGTCCTTCTGGCAACACTCTGCCTCATGCAGCCGAGGATACTGATAGTGTGAAATGTGTGCCTTCATATTACATACAGCCTGGTAAAGATCTGTTCTGCAGCTTGATGGAAAGCTGGACATGATAGAAAAGAGTGACTCAAGACAATACTATGTAACTTACGTTCTCTAACTTTCCAATTGCTGTCTAAATTATTGGAAATTACTTTTTCCTCATTCCAGGTTTCTGTTCTATTGCACTTTAAGGTTCATGTTAGATCTGTGTCCAATACTTATATGCTGCAGACTATCCTGAAATCTTTGTTTTTGATTTTTTTTCCACTTTTGTTAGTTGGTTTGTGTCTTTGCTGAATCAGAGTCCTTTTCACAAAGTACCTGTCTGATTTTTCCCACAGAAAGAATAAAAGAAAAAAAAAAAACAGCATCATCCCTGTTATGCTTTGTATCATACTAAGCCTTAAATTAATATTTTATATGCTTAGAATGCTGTCAGTTCATCTCCCTCTTGTGCTTAGAAACAGTTACCTTGCGTGCTGCCAGTCTACAGAGCTTGTAGTATTTCATGTTAATGTATTCTTATGAAGAAATTGTGATGATAAGGAGGCTCTTGTTGAGGGACTGGGACCTTCAGATAAAAGGGCTGTTTACCAGTCATGGTTTCAAACAGCAGTGCCATGAGAATACATTAATCCGCTGGAGGTCCCAAACTGAAAGAAGGAATAATTTTTCCTGGCATCTGGCGGAAGACTGTTATGATCTGATGACCAATTAGCAAACTGCTAATTGGAGAGAGCTAATAAACTGTAGAACGGACATGGGAAGTTGGCTCTCTCTAGCAATTTAAATGACCACTGTGATTTTCTCGTATTTTATTTGTAAGACTCATCAAGCAGCAACAGGAAAAACATGCAGGTGAACATTAACAGGACATTAAGCTGGGATGCCAAGGTCAGCTAAAAATAAATGTGTTTCTTATCTTTTTGGCCGCAAAGCATACTGTGAACTAAAAGTGACAAGAGACCGCAGCAAGCACAAAATGACTTCTTCACTCAGTACAAGAGGGACACAATGCACACTCTCTGGGATAGTGCTTCAATGCTAGCGTCAGTGTAACACTCACAGAATTCAGTTGTTACAGATAAAAAGATGTGCACTTGGATCTTGCTAAGCTTCTAATCTCAGCTTTGAATAAATCTAATAGGTATCAGTTAAATCCTGACTAGAGTAACTCATTAATTGCATAGGTACATTTTCCCCAGCTGGAAGTTATGTAGATACGTACTAGAACAAAGGGTCTAGAGGGGAGAAGGAGACATGTACGTAATGCCACTTGACTAAAGAAAGGGTCATACTATACCATCTGCTATGCAATACCTCCACTGGCTGCAGCATTTGGTGATGCTGTAACTCTATACAGAAAAAAGAACAAACCTTTACCTGGTGGCCCTGTCATCAGTTCTGTTTCTATTTGAGTCCATTGCTGATAAATCAATGATCACAGTATAGATTACCTGTCCATTTGGTTGTTTTCAGGTCTACTTCATACATAGGCTACCACTTCGCATCTTCTGCTGCTTGTATTTCCTACAGTAACAGCCCTTTTTGCCCTCGTCTAAAATTTGAGACAAATTCTTCTGCCACAAAAGCTGTCCAGTGTGACTGTTCCAGCAGATGTATTTGCAGATTTAAATTTTCTTGTCCTGGCACTGAATTACTCCCTGCTCGATCCTTTCCTCCTCAAACTTATAAAAAGTAACCATCTGTAAGTGTGTGTCATCCAAAATAACCTTCTTTTCTGAGCTTACCCCAGAGGACTACTAGAAGGTTGTGCAAGTCTCCATCTAGTTCACATGTGCTGAAACACAGCTGAGAGTATCTTTTTGCATTGCTTGAAATAGCTATACAGAAATTGAGAAAACCATGTGAATACAGGGATTTAAACTGCTGTACAGTCCCTCGTATTGAGGAGATAAATGGAAAATGAAGAGCTAGACTGATAACTGTGTGGGCTCCAGAGTAATAGCCAGGTGCACATGTCATAATTCATCTACTGTTGTAAAATAGATGGGATGGATAGTAAGTAAGCAAAACTTAACTTAAATTTATCCCCTTGGCTATGCAGATAAGACCAGACTTAGAGGATTTCGAGAACATTTCCTAATATGACTTTTTCAGGACAAGATCACAAGGTATTTAAGTGTGAGACGTGTCCTCTTCTATCCCATTTTCACACATCAATAGCTTTATGTAACTTTTAATCTTTCATATCTCTGCAAAGACATGGTATAGCTTTCCACCATAGCCTAGCAAGCTTACCCTTCATCATCAGGGCCAAACTTGTGTTCCTGAAATTATGTTTAAACATCTACTGCAGACAAAGAAATGGATATCAGTTGCATATGAAGGTTTATGTTAGCTTTGAATGAGCTATCCTGGGTTCAATAGCAGCAGTCTCTGGCTGCTGTGGGCTATATTACTGAATTAAAGAGTAAGTAAGATAGAAAATTAGATGCTACACTGCTGAAGAAACCAAGATAACTAGTTAAAGTTCGCTTAAATTTGTTAACACAGGCTGCAGTTACAGAGGATCAGAAGAGCTGATTTCTCAACTGTACACTGAAATGCAATCAAGCCATGCCCAACCTTCCCCAGCGCCTGGTTTGGATGTGTGGAAGGAGTATCATAAAAACAATCTCTGCTTTCACTGAATTTGTTAGAAAATGCATGAATAGTAATTACTTGTATATCAAATTTTACGGCTTCAGAATAATTTACTAGCAAGTAATCTCATCTGTAGTGATCCATTAGCAACAGGATGAGAGGGAATGGCTTTAAGTTGCACAAGGGGAGGTTCAGGCTGGATATGGGGAAAAATTTCTCCAAAAGAGTGGTCAGGCACTGGAATAGGCTGTGCAGGGAGGTGGTAAAGCTACTGTCCCTGGAGACGTCCAAGAAACATTTAGATATGGTACTAAGGAACATGGTTTAACAGGGAATTTTGTTGGTAGGTGGACAGTTGGACTAGATGATCTTCGATGTCTTTTCCACGCTGAAAAAGTCATTCTGTGATTCTATGATTCTATTCTACGATTCTAAGGAGAACCAAGCAGGTTCCAGAACAAGATGAGGCAGGAAAGCAGCTGTGCCATGCTCTGGTCTGGGCAATCATCCAAAGAACTGCAGGATCAGAGTAGGGACCTCGTGCACAACTGCCCTGCACTTTAGATAGGACTCAAGACATTTTGGATTATAATAGACTAATAATGAGTTTGTTTGATACTGCATGCATAAAAAACAATTTTCTCCTAGTTTAACCACACTGCTTAATCATGCCTCCCCAGCAGACAGTAAATCAGATATTTCAGACGCTTTCCCTGCTTTTCTTCAAGTAGCATATAATTAATTTGCTCAGTTAACTAACTCAGGCACTCAGCAGTTTTTTATTCAAACATTATTTAATTAAGTAGGAAAATCATCCTTTTGTATACCCAAAGATACTGAATGTAAATAGAAATACGTATCAAATTGCATTCTCCTGCATGAACACTGAGCAGCTTGCAATGGAGTCATTTTAAAATGCCAAAAATGCTAGCACCAGAACATTTGCAAATGTCAGAAATTTAATTTAGGTTCTTAAAGTTTTAACTCTGAATAAGTTACACATTTTGTAACTTGCTTTACCTCTCCCTAATTGATGATCTTAAGCTTTTCTTTTTTTTTTTTTTTTTTTTTTTTTTTTTTCCTGAAGGGGAAAATTATGTGTTTGTACTGAGTTCAAGCAATGTAATACTGCAAATTAATTAAAATATCTAAGTGAAGCATGTCAAAAGCTACTCTAATTACTACGTTACTCCTAATCTTTTTCATAGGATTTACTAATTTTTTCTTATTTGATAAGGAAATAAGGTTCATATGAAGGGTTAGTTCCCATCCGATAATTTTTTAATTCATTTTCCAGTTTCACATTGATCTGGCAGAAGGTTAGAAGTCTCAAAGTTACTACAGAGAAACTAAGGATAGACACTAATAATGTTTCTTTTCATGGGAAAGAAAGAACACAGGAGCCTATTTGACAGGAGTTGTTTCATCCTCACCAGTGAGTGAAACCCATTCTGCTGCTATGAACCAGGCAACTAGTTGAAAAAGAGCAACTAGGGGAAAAAGGTTGTGTCTAGAAGGATGTACAAATGAGCTTAGAGTACTGCGAGACGGGGAACTGAAATATAGCTGAGGGTCTTGGAAGGAAGTGCAGGACATGAGGAAGAAGACCTCATGTCTTTGATAGGAGAATGCTTTGATAGTATAATAGTACGAAGATGTAGGGGATATAGGATATCAATTAATCAAAAATCAACTTTCATTAATTTTACTGCTTATAAAACAAGGTAGTGACTTGATAGGTCAGAGTCTTCCTGGCACTTTTTAATAGAATCTGTCTGCACCTGAATTGCCAAATCTTTTGAAACTTCAGACAGGGATTCATAAGTTTTGTCTTAAAAATGTACCTGCTGACTCAGCATTTAGAATTAGACAAGATTGGTATAAATGATTGTGTAATTTGTACACTTGAAATTTCTGTATTTTTTTAAATTTGAGAAAATAGCTTTTTCGCAATTCAGAGTTCTGGCTTTCCAAATTTGATAAGCTGAGTAATCAGAAAGAATTTGGTTCAGTTGTCATCGCATTTATTTTCAGCTTAGGAACATACAATTTATAAATAGCAATAGTTTTAAAATGTGTATTGAGCTTTACACTTTGATTCTGATTCAGGGATGTAAGAGAAATTGTGGTAATGATTGTAAAAAAATACTTTCTCATTTGCACTGTTCTGTTCTTTTCAGTTAATTTTTTGTGCACTAGTTGACCTGCACTCTTCCTAATGCCTAAATTCTCTTCACATTTTTACCAGTGTGTTTGAAATATACCTGAATTAAAATAAAACTGCCTCTCTTGTGAATATTTTTAGTTCTTAAAGTAAAACAGTCTCCAGTCAGTTATGTGATCTGTCTAGTTTCACCGTAGAGATTCTGAATTTGGTATCTTTTTTTTAAAGCAAACCATTGTTCTGTTAGTCTGAGCTGCAACTTGGCTTAAGGCACATTGTTTCAATTGCAATTTGTTGAGTGTGTACTTGGCAAGTCTGGCTGGGACAGACTGTGTATTTTTGCTCATAAGCCATTACTGAGCATGTTGGTAATTTGGAACCCAAATCACATGGCATACCCTTGTCACATCAGTAGTTTTTGGGCCTAAACAAAGGATAGTCTACTCATAGAAGAGTACGTTGTGCATGGGAGTTACTGTAGAAATTAGCCACCTATGGCTGCTGTGTGATATTGCAGCTCAGTGGTGAGCCACAATGTGCTGTGAAGATCGTTTCCTTCGTATGGGTATCACAGCTTTGAAGGAATAGGGCTTTTTTTTTTCACTCTGCTCTGGAGAAACTTTTTCACATTTCTTCAATTTGTAAAGGGCAGGTCCAGATCTGTAAGGAGGAGTGTGAGACAAACAGCTACTGATTAATGCTGATAATGTTTTGTGTCTAATGAATTTTATGGATTACAGTGAATAAAAAGCTAATTTATCTCTTTAAGCATATATTGATATAAACATGATCGTTTTCTGCACGAGGTAACTTGGGTTAATGGAGTGTTGTTTCATTGTGTTCTGTCTGTATCAACAATGTCATTGAATGGCCGGAACTTGCCATTGCTTACAAATGGGTGAGCATCAATAAGCACTTCAACAAACAGATATTTCTTAAGCTGTCAAACTTAAGGCCCGAATAACATAAGGAGGGCAGTCAGACCTGCCAAGTGGAAACAATGAACACTTATTCTAAAAAATGTAGAATGGGTTACAAATCAAACAAAACTTAAAAGTTCAGTTGAACTGCAACTCGGCTGTAGTTTATGAAAATGTTACTAAAGAAAAGACAGAAGGCAGCACCAGTGCCTGATACCAACTGCCTGCTTTTCTGCTTTTCTCTCTATTCCCTTCCTGCTTCTTTCATGTATAGCACAATGCACTACAGGCACACAATGGGAAAGGCCCACAGGGTTCCTTGAACTGATGCAGTTAAAGTTCTTCATGTTCTACTGCCAATTCCAGCACACACAGGAGACTAAAGAGAGACCAGAAGAAATTTTAATGTCTCAGCAAGAAGCTGAAGCAGCAGCAGACTAAGAAGCAGGTGTCCCCGATTCCATACAGAAGCACGAACACGTACAGCCAACATCACCATGATCTAGGCTCTTCCCTTTAGCTTCCACCTATAAGAAAGTCTGTTGAAATTCTTGGGTCTGAACACACTGAACGCCTGAATTTGAAAAGATAATGCTGTTTCCTTACTGAAATTTCTCCCATATTGTACTGTCCATTCTTGCAAACTGCTTTTTCTGTTGTCTCTTCTCCTGCAGTAAATTAGAATTCCCTACTGAACTGATTGTTGTCATGAGTGCTGCACAGTGCCTTTTGGTACTCTGTGGCAGTGTGTATATTGAAGCTAGGAAGCATAATGCCCTGGCCCTCCAACCTGGAGCCTCAGACTACAGTCAGAAGCCAGTCATTTTCTGTGTGTTTGTGGAAGAAATAGACCCCCAGCCTCCCAAACAGTATTTAGACATCAATCACAACTTTACCATGGTAGATTTTTCACTCTGACTCACACACACAGGTGGCAGGCAATCACTGATAAACAAAATCATAAAAACAGAAAGAACAATAAAATATATTTTTCTGTTAATTCATATTTTACTTCTAAGAAAGATGTCTTACCCCAGGAGAAAACAATATGAATGTCAGTGAAACAGCTACCAGAGAAGAGAAAATAAGAGAGCTGAGTTTACTGGTCGAGGCTGTCTGTCTCTCCTGGCATTCCATCAAACATATGCATATTTTGGAAACCCCTGAATGATGAAAACTGTGTCTTTTCAGTGTTGGAACAGGAGTTTCTTTCCAAGAATACAGTGGTGCTTTTTAGAAGACCAGTGACTGAGCAGTATGTGCGTCAATGGAAGTTCTTTTCAGAACAAACCTTACCCTACCAGCGTAGGCCGCTATTGACTAACATTACTGGCTGACTAAAATTCTTGTTGCATGACAAGTACAGACATTACTGGCTGACTAAAATTCTTGTTGCATGACAAGTACAGATAAATTGCTTTAGTAAGCGCTTTCTGAATGGTGTCTGTGAAGCAGTCTCCTCCCTCAGCACGAATTAAGAGGAGGAGGAAAAAGAACTGTCAGGGCTTCAGCACTGAGGCCTTGCTTGGCTGACTTATCCCAGATGAAGCTGGGACTGGCCAACGGGACTTCAGCCAAAAATGCTACTGCTCTCCTTTTCTCCACCATTTTTCCTATTCCACTCCAACACACAGTTTCCACAGAAACAGCGTAGCACAGACGGTACAGTTCAAGTGCCTTTCTGCAGAGGTAAATGTTGTTTAACTGAAGTGTGAATAAAGTATTGGCTAGTTCACATCTTATTCTGGTGAAAAGCTTTATTAGAGTTTAAATTCAGAGATTATCTGGCCAAGAATGAACATATTTGAAATTCCTCTTCCTCTCTCAACATTTTAAACCTTATGTAGTAATGCAGGGACTACATGACTGTCTGGCAGCAGAAATACTTAAAGTAATATTCTAATTCATCACTTAGGGCTTTTTCAGTATTTTTCCCCCATCATCAACACTGGCAAATGTCTGACAGAAGAAGGTGAAGGTGGCTGCACTTAGAATGCACTACACGTTCCCATTGGAACACCAAGCAGGTACCTGAGCAACGTGGTTCACTGAAAGGCTAACTCCAATTTTGCCACTGAGTGTTTCAGACAGCCACCTGACCTTCCAACTGCGTGTAAATAATTTCCCCACCAGAAAAATGTTGTCCTGCCAGTCATTAAGCCCTGTGATTAAAAGTTGGCAAGTATCTCTCATTCCTTACAACAGGCACACTTTGCTGGTTTATTTTCAGGCTTCTGGCCCTCATTCTCAGCTGCATGGGAGAGCTTATTTGCATGCTGACAGTGGTGATGTGCTGGCCCAAACAAACTGCTACGAGACGGCACTGTGGTGCAATACGCTCTTATCACCATACTTGAAATCATGAATGTTTACTGTATTTCTAGGCAGCAGATAGAAGTTCATTGTCCTCTTTTTGTCAAGTAGCCAGGAGGAAATGGAGATTACTTTTGCCAGTGCTAACAAGTTTGGACAAATCTGTAGGAGAAAGAAGGATCAACAGTATCTCCTGAGAGCAGAAAAGAAGGTGCTGATAGACAGGTAAAGGACTACGTGTATTTTGGGTCATATTGTCCTCAAACTACGTGAAGAATTAGGCATGTGAAGAGGGAATGCCAAGATGTCGCCACAGCCTAAAAGAGCAAAACACAGAGCGTTGGACAGTGAGATTTTAATGTAATTCACTGCTATGATTAAAAGCATATTATGGGTATTGCCACAGTCCATTTCAGCTTTGTATCTATCAACGTTTGATATTTATGCTGTGACTTCTAAAGCATTTTTAATGGCTAGATCCAGTTGTGCAAAGGACAGCAGGCATTTTGCTGGTAGCTTATTAGGGTACAACATTTCACACCAATACCAGTGATCAAAAATAATCAAAGAAATTTTATGGAAAACCAGGTATGACAGCAGATACGGTCAGAGCTGGAAGGCACATGCCAAGCAGCAGCACAGCTCGTTTTCTCTCTCCATTTCTGCAGTGTTCTGCTTCCCCCCCTGCCCATGAGCTGTGCTGCAGGAGGTGGTCCCACCCAGCACCATGCATGTACACCTGCTGCTCAGTGGCCTTAGGAGAGCAGAGAGCAGCTGGCCCCACTAGCAGTAATAGTTCAGGCTCTGTATGCAGACTGCCTTGGTTGTTTTATTCTTCCCATCCACAATGTTCTAGCATAAGTATACAGAAAGATCTTCCAAACCCTGGAGGTGAAAGGCTTCCTGAGATAATTATGGGTGCAGGCAGAAATGTGAAATTATTCCCCCAGCTCAGATTCCTTGCAACACTTGCTCTTAACTGTCCTTGCAAAAATCAAGTGCTGCCACATGAAGATAGAGACACTGGACCTGTGGTCAGTAACATCCTGTTTTGTGTGCAGTGTTGCCAAGCTTCAGGCATCTAACAAACTTCTAACAAACTTCTAACAGAGAAACAAGAGGTATAAATGAATTTCAGTTACCCCACAAATTCAGTCATTAAAGTTTTACCTAACATTCTGGACACATATATTCCTAACCTAAAATTACACAGTTCCTGACTGTTTATAGCTGTTTATATGCATATATATATATATATATATATATATATATATATATTTTTTTTTTTTAAGAGAAATTTGGTCAGAACAGTCTTCTCTGCCTAAAATTCTGATAGTATATCTACAAAATATGTTTCTCTACCTTTCTCCTGTTGCAGACTAATTAATCAAAGGAACTGGAGAGATCAATTTGAAAAATCAACACCTTTTCATTTTTAAAATAGAATGGGGGGAGGAAAAAAAATAAGAATCAACTTAAAGGCAATGGCCTTTGAGTTAATGGTCCTTAAAAGATTCCATAAATTTCAATAACTTTTTTGGTCTTTATTTTGGAAGTCTGTATGATTCATTTTTGACTGCTCTCATCATACTTCAAAGAACTTCCTAATTGAAATTGTTTACCTTGAGCATTAAGTTCTCCATCTCCCTCCGTAACAGATATTTTTCATAATGCTTTACTTCTAGATTTTACTTGCTAATGAATCATCACCTCCATTTTTCATTTCACACAAGACTTCAAAAATAGGCATTGGAAATGCAAACAACCTACATATGAAAAAATACATTAGGCTTTTAATAGTTCTTTCATCCTAATTCTCTGAGGTGCTACTAGTGACACAGGTAAAAATCAGACAAGTTAAGTGCAGCTGCTGCAAAGGGTGTAAAATTACAACTTATCGGCCTGATTGTCTGTGCCCCTGGGGGGTTAAAGCTGAAGAGTGAGTACTGATATTGATGCTCTCCTTTATTATTTTTTTCCACAGAGTGGAATACACCTTTGGGTTTTTGAGGATCTTGCTTGGAAGAGACTGATTTGACATGCTCTTGACATGAATTCTCTTCCTACCCAGATTTACACTCCCACCTGCCAACGCATGCTGTCCTGATTTCCCTTCCTGGTGAGCCTGAGCACATGAAGCCATCATAAGCTTAAACTTATTACAGGCCAGAACTGCAGTGACCATGACTGGTCTTTTTTTTCCAACAACAACATAAAACTACTTACTTTAAGTTGCATTAAATAACCAATAGTCACATTTTAACCGAGATTAAAATAAAATTTTAAGAATACCACCTGAATGATATATTAAGGCCATTCATGACAGAGTATTTTTAGTTGTTAAACTAACCTGAGGAGGAAAAAAAAAAAATCAAGTTAGAGTTGCAGTCATATTTTCTTATACCTTTGTATGTAAAAAGGAGCATTTGTCTAAGGGAAAGAGAAAGTGGTGATGAACACACTCTGTTCTTTGCCTGCCTGCACTCAGAAATATCATCACAGAACATGACCAAATATGCCACTTTGAAGACATGATGTTCTCTACTGGTCATAATGCCCTGTTTTATCTCAGAAACAGAACTGGAGATTCCCTCCTTCCTACCCCCAAGCTGTAGAAAGGTCAGTCTCAAGGATTTTGCCTGTACAGTCTTCAACACAGGCAATTAGTTCTTGAAGTTGGAGACTGCCTACTGGTTTTAAGAAAGTTGTAATGAAATTTGCTGAATATACTGGAAAACTTGAGAAATGCATAGAAATGATAGTATTTGCTATTTACCTTGAGGTAGCACCTGCAGGTCCTTCAAAATGCTGGTTCTTCCCTGTGCAAGGCACTTCATACCACTCCAAATTCTATTCATCTTAAGCTAATGGTAGTGGATGGAAGATCAACATATTCAACAGGGAGAGCTAGCAGTAGGGTAATTATCATACCAAGCAGAGGTTGTAACATATGAGCTGCTTAATTACTGACAGGGATTTTGTAGACTAACGTACTTACTGTAGGAATCTGGGGGAGGAAAAAATGTTTTAGGGAACCTCTTGTGCAACATAAAAGAAACAAGAAGTTACAGCAGAAAAAAAAAGTTGGACTGATGTGTGGGAGAAGTCTTGCTGAAGGATTGCCCAGACAGATATTTTCAGGCAGATAATATCATGTCTGCCTCGGATGGGTGAAGGTATGACCTTGCACAGCAGCTATAGCAGTAATTGGTAGGAGGACAGCACTATTAAAATGACACAAAGCTCTTTTTTGCATTTCTTCTACTGCCAAGACAGCCTGGGAATTGGGAAACTGCAGTCACAGCTCTGGAATCCTCAGTGATGCTCCACAGTTGTCAGAAGCACCAAACTCTTCCATGTCTGTCAGTGGGTCCTGTCCACCGCTGAGCCATCTGCAGAGGCTCACAAAACCAATTTCCCTCTCCTGGTTTCTATTAGGTTGATGAAATTCCAAGTGTGAAGTTCCAGTTCATAACAGACTTTGCTAAAAGGTCTGTCGCCCTCTGTTTTACAGCTCCTCTTCAGATACTGAAAGGCCACTCTCAGATCTCCCTATAGTCTTCTCTTCCCCAGACACAACAGCCTCAGCTCTGTGAGCCTGTCCTCATAGCAGAGGTGTTCCACCCCTTGGATCTTTTTTGTGGCCCTGCTCTGGATGCTCTCCAACAGGTCCACGTCTCTCCTGTGCAAAGGATACCACATCTGGATGCAGTGCTCCAGGTGAGATCTCACAGTGCAGAGCAGAGGGGCAGGATAACAGATGACTACAGAATGAGAAGAAGCTAAGAGGTGGCATTAATAGCCTGGCAAAGAATGAGATTGGTCACCGTTATGATGCACAGTGAAGGGTCTGAAAAGGAAAGACAAATTATATGTGTTGAAGTTAACGATGATTTTTCACTATGGCCCGAAACAGAAAGGTGAACGCAGACATTCCGACAAGGTCGGAGAACGCAGCGCAGACACAGCCCGCTTTGATAAAGGCCCCACGCTTTGCACGGCGCAGGCTCCGAAATGGCGCTTCCCGCACCGCCTGTCCCGGGACTGAGCGCGGCCAGCAGCAGAGCTCGGGGGCAGCGCCTCGCTGTGCTGACTCACTGCCTGCAGCGGCCGGGGCAAAATTAATCTGCTTCTGCAGAGCTGTTGTACTTTAGAGGAATTTATAATAAATTCCCGCCTGCTTCCCCTGGATGCTTGAAAGCAGTCTTTTCGCTTCCAAAAGGACCTTCAGCGGGCCGGAGGCGCAGTACAGACTCTCACGGGCACCACCGCTGCCGTCGGCTCGCTGGGAACTGGAATCCACAGCGACCGGGCTGCCCAAAGGCGCCCCGCAGCGCCGCCACGGCAGGAGCGGGTGCTCAACTCACCTCGCAGCGCGGGCGGTGCTGGGGCCGGCCGGCCGCCTCCCTCCTACTCCCGCCCTCGCACACGCGGAGCGGAGCCGGGGCGGGCCCACGCGGCTCGCTCCCCGTGCCTCCTCCCTCTTTCCCCGCTGCGCCCGGCCCGGCCTCCCGCTCCCGCGTGCGGTAAGTAGCGCCGTGTGCCTGGCGGCGGGCGGAGCTCTACCCTTCTTCGGCGCCGCCGCCCCGCTCCAAGGTGCCACGGGCCGCGGCCCTGCTCTCTCGCCCGAGCGGCACCGCCGCTCCGGGCAGCCGCCTGCCGCTTCCGTACCCGGCGCTGCCGCGCGCTCCCAGGCCGTCTCCCCGGCCTCGAGCCCTGTGGGGCTCGGCCCCGCTGTGCCGGGTGTGCCCGCGGGCCGCGCCGAGCCTCCTCGCCGGTGGGGGAATGGCGGCCGTCTGGTACCGGCGGGACGTTGGCCGCCGCCGAAGCGCCCCGCGTGACGGGCTGCGCTGTGAGCGACCGCTCCGGGGAGAGAGGCAGTGCTATGGGTGTAGCGGGAGATCCGTCTCTATCCCTGCTGAAACTGCTGCTCGGCCGCGCCGGGTGCGGAATCTGGCTTTTATGGAAACACCTGCTCACAAGGGAAGGGGCTGAGGCGGCCGCACGGGAAGTCGGGAAGAGGCCAGACCTTTCCTGCCCAGCCCCTGCGGGCATTGCACATCCCTTTCAGTCACGGCCCTCAGAGCGCGGCCTTGGCTGCCGTCGCGGCGGGACTGTGAGACTGTTGTGAGCACGGGCAGTGTCCTGCAGCGCTGCGACGTCCGTGGCCAACGCTGAGTTCTTGTAACCATTTGCTGTCATTTATTAGCTATTTTACAAACATCAGATTTACCATTACCTCCTTGGCAGGCATTTCAGGGGTTTTCAGTCTGCCTGCTTTGATTTTGTTCGCCATGCAGAAGGTCTCAGGAGCCATCTAGAAGCCTTGTCCCCACTGGTGCTTTACAGTCAGGGCTCTGTATATTTAAGAAGATATGGGAAGAATATGGAAATGCTGGTGAATTTCTTCTCTTGGATACAATTACCTTACTTTTAAAGGAGGATTTTATTTGAGGACAAACTGAAATTCAAGCTTCCTGCTTGAAGGTACGTTGCTTTGCGGATAGTTTTACTTTCTTCTGTGTGTTTTGTCACTCTTTGAATCACTTAGTTTATAAGTCTCTGTTTTCTTTTCATCCGTTCTTTTCTTTAGCTTCTTTTTTCAGTCCTTCATTTGAAGCAAAGCATTGTAGGTGTCCATAGGACAAGCATTTTCTATTTACCCTACATTTATGTCAGCTATAGAGTGAGAAGTCCCAACGAGGAGATGAACTGTGGCTAGCAGTAGCAATCAATTAACAACTCAGCACAGGGTGATTAATGACTTAGTCACGAGCCCTCCTTTAAAAACATCATATTCTTCAAAATTAAAAAAAATTTCTTTCCAGTGTTTGGAGAAATAACACAGGACGATGTGCCTTGCTGCCTTGTGGGCCCCTTCACAGGCTGTGGGCCCCTCAAGGTGTCCCTGCTCTGGAATGGTGTGCCTTCTTCCAGGAGTGCATCTTCAGCCGTCCCCAGCAGTGTCTCCTTCACATCCCTCCCCATATCCTCATACACCTCCTCTTGTACTTCTATCTGTGCTCTCTTTCTTCAATATGTATCAGCACTTCTGCAGAGGGGAGTTTTGGTATGTGGTGGGTTTCATCCATTGTGGAAATAGCTGGAAGCAACTATAACAGCCACAGGGCAGTTGATGATATCCTTGCAACATTAATTTTTTTTGTCTGTTTGCTTGTTGGTTTGCTTTGGTAGGTTGTCTTTTGTTTGTTTTTGTTTCTTCCTCCCCACAAACCTTCTCAGAAAATTTTCTTCTGTTTTTCAGGCTTGATGTTTGGGTTCTGCTGACAGAGAGGTGGTGGCTGAAGTTGCCAGTGAAGATTCTGCTCCACCAGTGTGAGTAGTCATACTGTGTTCTCATAGATCGTTTCACTTGCTTGTTTTTTGTTTGTCCCACTCATTCAAGGATTTTGTCATCATTTCCGTGCTACCTTTTGGTCTGAATTATTGCCATCTTGAGCTCTGTATGGAATTGTGTGTGTTACAGCAGATGACTGTAGAAAAGGGGAAGATCAGGTTTTAGGCTTAGAAAAATCAGACCATCCTCTCCCAGTCCTTGCAAGGGGAATCAAGCCATCCTCTTTCAAACCTTGCAAGATGAAGTCTTGGTAGAGTGAGAAGTATTTGAGAGTAGTACTTTAGCAGAAGACTTGGGAACGGAAAGCTTGATAGGCACTAAGTTACCGTTGACAGCAGAGCCTACATGGACAGGGCTGGCTGCAGCTGTGATGGCAAAACTGATGGTGGTAAAGGGATTGTGTAGTGTTCTTCTACAGCCTAATGTGCATGCTGCCTTTGGGTGGATATTAAGTGCCTTTAACAACTCCTTTCTTTCCAAGTCATGTTGTTTCAGCTGTAAAAAACCTTTACTTGGTGTTTTACTTTAAAAAAAAAAAAAAAAAAAAAGGCAGAAAATTTATGGTTTTCTTGAACTGTTGCAGGGTGCACAGTCTTTGGAGTGGTGAAAAGGCCATGTATTGATACTGCTTCTAAGCAAACAAGGAAGTAAGCCATTCTTGCTTCTCAGGGCTTTCTATCCTACACTGTGCCTTAAACATGGAAACTGTAGAAATGAATAACATATCCTTGAAACGTCCTCATTCTGAGGGTGATGCGGCTAATGTGGATGAAATTAAAAGACAGAAGATCTCAGAGAACTCTAAGGCAGGAAGCAACTCTGAGCAAAGTGTTCAGACTGTAATAGAACAACCTGACAAATGTATGCTTGACGACACGAAGAATGAAATAATTCCCAATGAGGAAGGTGAGGAGCAG